AGCAACTTGTCTGTTCCCCTTCCCCCAATTCCCCAGCACTGTTCCCATCCCCCCCAGTTCCCCAATAAAAAATCTTAAAAACAAAAACAAAAACAATGTGGACAATGGAGAAAATGTATGGGACTATAACAGAAGGAAATTGAGGAGAGAAAAAGGTTGGGCATGTTTATAGCATCAGTGGCATCTAAGATATAGCATCAGTAGGGCACGACATGAGCTCAGAGTACCCACCCCACCTCTTTTCTAGTCTACATTTTTCTTTGTACAGACATCATCCTCAGTCCTAGCTGCAGTATGAAAGCAAAGAAATAAACAAAGGGTATCTTACTAGGATCTTCTGTGAATGTTTCTGGAGTCACTGTAGTCACTGAATGAAAAAAAGAAAGAAAGAAAACAGGGTCCAGATGAGTGGCTCAGTTGGTTAAGAGTGCAAGCTCTGAGCAACAGGGTTGCCGGTTCGACTCCCACATGGGATGGTGGGCTATGCCTTCCCACAACTAAGACTGAACATGGCACCTTGAGCTGAGCAGCTGTGAGCTGCTGATGGGCGGCTGGATGGCTACTGGACTTGGAGCTGAGCTAGTTGCGCCCTCCACAACTAAGATTGAAGGACAACAACTTGGCTGTTCTCCTTCCCCAATTCCCCAATAAAATCTTTAAAAAAAGAAAACATTTTCTGAGCATTCTCTTTACCCATCCCACCCTTGTGCTCCCAGTAAGTGAAAATTTCCAGCACAGTGGCCAATACACAGTTAGTATCCCACAATTGCTCCGTGCTTGTTTCCCAGTCCAAGTCTTTTCTCCTGTAGCCCAATGAAGTAATCCTGCTTTCATGAATATTCCCATAAGGTCCCTGCCTAAAATGTCCTTTTTCCTTTGTATTATTTCGTGAAATAAATGAACTACATGCCCATCAGATAATCTTCCACAAACACTCCTTTCTCAATTAGATTTTGACTAAGCATTAGACTACAGGAATAATTTATATTATTTCCTTATCTTAACAGATAATAAATATATTTAGATAATTCGGGTTTACTATGTGCCAGGCACTGTTTAAATCCATGTTTTTAAAGAAGAAAGAACTGAGCTCCAGAAGAAGAACTCACCCATGGTCATAGAGCTTGTTAATAAGTACAGTGGATTGGTGACTTTGCAATGTTTATTGAAAATGAAAATTATCTTTACCAAGAACACTGACTTTGATATTTATAATTTTGGTGTAATTAGATATCAGTCTGCTGATATACTTATATACTAGAGTGTTCACAAAAGGTGATGGTGATAGTTTTTTGATGCTTAGAGAGATGCGAGGTGAAGAGAGTAGAGGGCAAACGCCAGTGTTGGAAGAGAATGCCTTGCAGCTGATAGTTGGAAATTAAAGGCAAGAGGAAAAGGGATAAAAATGGCCCAGGTCTTAAGGTGGAATCTATTGGGTTAAACCAAGAAAACTGCATCTGGAACTATAAATAATAGCATTTCCTAGAACAACTTGTCTTGGTTTATAAAAGCAAAATAACAAAGCAGTGTTAACATCTAAATAGCAAATAGCCCATCTACTATAATTATCGTTCCTTGTGGAAAGCCTATAGTTATAGTCTATTTTACCCACTAGGGGTCAGCAAATTCACATAGTTTGCTTTGATTTTTTTAAATTTATTTTAACTTAAGCGTCTAAATGTCAGATTTAAATCTGATGAGAACAGCACTTTTATAAACCACATCAGAGTTACTGATCATTGTAGTAGCGGTAAAACACAAGAAAACATTTTGAAGGAATTTCTCCCTGCTTACTGCTTACCTCCTTACTTCATCCTTTTCTTCCTTCCTTTCTTTTTTTAAAATTCTGGACAGAAAGATCATCAGATCTGACAACACAGCCTTTTTATCTTCAATGCTCAGAATAAGCTTTCTTCTTTCAGAACAAATTTTGACAAAATGAATCCAGTCTGTTTCAGTTCCACAGGATACTTAAAAAAATCACTGACCTGAGTCATTCCAGGGACAGTGAGAGGGCAATGGAGCCTCTCCCATGTGTAGCCTAATCTGGCCCAGTTTCCTGTTCTCTTTATTCACATTCCAGTGCAGCCACTCACAGAAACAGAAGTGAAGCAGTGGGAGAACAAAGGGGCTGAGAGTGTATCCTAGCTGTCTCCTGAGGCTTTCAGGGCAGAGTCCTGCTTTTGTGCTTATCCATCAGTTTACCCACCTGTTCCATGAGCTATCACCATATAAATGCTTATGTAGGAATCATGAATATTCTCTGAAAAGGAATCTTGAGACACATTCATCACATCTCATGATGTTTCTGGTAGAAAAGCATCACAAAGTCATAAAACAGGACTGGACCTTAACCAGCCCAGAGAAATGAATTCAGATTTTTAGTTTTGCTAGTGTTGAAATCTGGTCTAAGTTCAGAAATCTATGGATTCTGACCTTTTATCCACAACAGAGAAAAAAATGTATTTCTATATTTTTATCTTCTGTTCCAGGACAAGAGTAAGAAATTATGTCATGTCCCAGTGTATACATAAAACCGAAACAAGTTTAAAGATAATACTTTACTCTTGCAAGTACTTTATTTTTATTTTAGCTTATTGTGATTCTTTAAAAAATACCAGTTGTGACCCACTAATTTGATTGTATGACCCATTAGTGGGTTATATACTGCTGTGCTCACAAAGATTGGGAAAAGTAGGAGATAAATTATAATTATGTTGAATGTCTGGAGGCAGAATGGGGTTTCCTTCATTAAACTGAATAGAGTTATCTGTTGGTCCTTTGGAAGCTAAAACTTTTGGATTCTGTCCAGTTGTGCTATAATTTCACTGTAGTATTGAGATGACTTCTTGTCCTGTGTTTGCATTTTAGTTTCTCCACTGTTACATGGGTAGGAAAATGCTTTGTGTTAGGATTAGCGGGAATTTTCTGAGTGAGATCAGAGGTGAATAGAGGAGAGTGGAAGCAAGAAATGGGCATAGAGGAGGTCTTGGGAAAAGTATTTCAGTAGATTAAAAAAAACAAAAGACAAGGTTTTAGGAATGGGATAACAGGATTGTGGAAACTGATGAATTGGATCTTATTTCCCACACCTTCGCAACGCATCTCTGTTGTATTACCAATTCTTTAACTCTGGCCATTCCTCTACATTACCCTGATAAGAATCCCAACAGAGCCCAGGTTCAAGGGTTCACCTACCTTGACCACTGATCCCTAGAGGTGTCCAGTCTGTACCAAAAGAAGGAGAAAAGGGATGTGAGTGACTCGAGTCTATACCCCTTAGGCTTTTATGAGATGAACCAGAGAATGATGGAGAAACGGTTATACTTTATCTTTCTATATGTTTAATTTTATATAGTTCAATACAAAGTTACTCAGCCCATTAGTGCTACACACAAACGTGGAAACACTCAAGAAAGATGACAAATTTCTGAGAACAAAGCCCTACTCTGTTACGCCCTGACTCAGAATGCCCTTTTGCCCTCATTCCCAACCAGAAGGAATGGAATCCTGTCCCCAGAGAAGCCCAGCAGCCCTTTTACTGTGTCCTGTCCTTCTGTCTCCACAGCCATCTCACTAGGTACAGTACTGAACAAGGCAAAAAGATGATCTTCTCAGTCTGTATCTGGCAGAATGAGAAAAACAAATAGAGGGAAAATTTTTTGAAATCCAAGGTTCACTTCCTGTGGCTAATCTTTTATTTAGCTTCTGTGAAATCTGTGAAGGTCATTTTTCTTTTGTGTACAAATTTGGCCTGTATTTTTAATGTGCGTGTGAATATACTTGTACATATGCTGCTGCAAGTGTCTCTTAGGGGCTAGTGTATCTATTCCCATTATTGTCCTGTTAAATTTGGTCCATTTTCTTAGTAGGTGGTTTCTATCTGTTTGTGTGTTAGTGTATCAGCTTCTTTTTCCTTTGGTATTTGTTTATTTGGATATTTATGTGTGTGACCCTCTCTTGGTTAATATGTATTTGTGTATCTTCATTTTACCTGCATTTCATAACTCTTAGGACACTTTCCCCCAAGTCTGAGGTCATGTCTGTCCACATCCCTGCCCTTTCTTCTTTAACACAAAGTCGATTCCTTTCTTCTCTTTCGTAGAAATTCTAGAACTCAGCAGCAGGCATCTCTCCCCCAATCCCCTTTTGACCTCCTTCCATCTCACTCTCTAACACACACCTCCACACACATGTAGAGCTGAGAGGCTGACATTTTAGGGAGAAAAGAATAAAAGTAGGGACTCACCTGAGGGAATGATGAGTGCAGTGAGAAACAGCAACAGCTTGGGTCCCAAGAGCAGCATATCTAACAGGGGTGGTGGGGAGAATAGAGATGGGAATGACACACCAGCATTTCAGTTCCAGAAAAGGATGCTGTGGCCCATCTCTTTGTCTTCCCAGGAGCTTTCCTGGTCCTCCATATGACTCAAACCCTGTCTCTCTTCTTATCTTTTACCCCAAATTTATTTCTTCTTCGAATTCTGTTCTTTGATCACTTACCATTATTTTCACTCTCATTACTCACTCTCCTTCTACCAAGTCAGAGGAGATTTTATATTCTAAAGGCTCCATGTTTGGCCCTACCCTGGGGTCTCTTTCTCCTCTAGGGTCTAATCTTCTTTTTTGATAGCTGCGACTTGTTCATGGCATCCGCTCATCTTGGTGTCTCCTCTCATTTGAATTTCATGAATAATTGGGATATCTGTTTAGTTTTAAGTTCAGTGATACTCCCCATTGCCCCTCTCCAGCCCTTCAATACACACACACACTTACACACACGCATGCACACACACATACACACACACTCATACACACTCCCTCTGTTTATTTAGGGTATTATACAATCAAACAACTCACTGTCTATGGTCCTCTGCTCTTTCCACCGAGTCCTTTGGCTGCTGTGTCTCTCTCCTTCTCACGCTATTCCTACTTTGGCTGGAGAATAAGATGAACAGGGCCACTCCCTGGGAAGGACTTCAAATTTGGCCTCCTGAAACAATGAGATGAGGGAGAGCGAGGGAGAGAGAGAGAGAGAGAGAGAGAGAGAGAGAGAGAGAGAGAGAGAGAGAGAGAGAAAGCCAGGCCAGAGGAGTGCAATGAGGTTGAAATGAGAAGAGGGATGGGAAATGGCAGTCACTCACACCCTCATTCCAAAGGTTATGACCACATCGGTGAGAGACACTGCTGCTCCCTAGAAGGACTGGCCTAAGCTCATGTATGACTTTCTTCCATGAGCCTATTTTCCCTCTCACAATCTGGCTCCAGCACCCCGCTCCCCTTCCCTGAGGTTCCTTCTTACCTAAATAGTTCTATGTCATCCTTGAAATGCTTTACTGTACATCACCGGAATCCTTCTCTGTCTTCCATGTTGAATTTTTCCTCCATTTTCTTTTCTCACTTTTTTCCCCCCAACATTCATCTCTTTGACACCAACAAATTCTTTTGTTTTTCTGTATTTCTCTTCTCTCTTTGCCTCTTTCTTGATGCACATGTTCAGAATCTTGTTTTATCTTCCCCTAGAAATCGTATTTATTCCCACATCCAAACAAACTCCGATATCACATGAGTTTTGTCCAAGAGGAGTTCTGGCTATCTTAGGGTTAGAAAAGTTGACGCATACAGTACCCTCAACCCTTTTGAAATGTGGAGGAGTTCTGTGAGAGAAGTTCTGTGAGAGGAGATACCAGCTGTCTTTTGTTTTAGTTTAAGCTTATGCTAAGAATCTTGGTTTCTGAAATCTTAAGGACAAAATGCCATCAGACACCCAAAGGAAATTAAGAACCCAGTTGATTCTGCTTAAGTTATTTTCCACCAGTACTTTTCCTCATATCATGTAATATGTAGATAATCCTTTCTCGGATCCAGGAGTTTTAAAAACTTTGTATTTGCTCTTATTCATAGAAACCCTTGTTATTAGGCCGTTAAAATATCTCCACTTGGGAGAGAAGCAGCTTGAATTATAGAAATTCAAATCTGAGGAGTAGTTGACCTTATGTGCACTAGAAGCGTATAAGTTTCAAATGACCTGCTAGCTCCTGTAGTCTACATTGTGTGCCCCCCTGATGAGCTAAATTAGAGGAGTACAGGTAGGCAGTGAGAGCAGATAGCATTAATAAATTACAGACTAGAAGAAAAAAGAGTAAATGATGGGGGAAGGAAGGGAGGAATGAAGGAAGAAAGGAAGGGGTGAAGGAAGGGAAGAAGAAAACTAGCTAGCTGCCTAGTTGGGAGGAAAGGAGAGCAATGAACATAATGAGAAATAAGTAAAGAGCACCTCTGGTTCCTCTGAGGGAGCTATAAGTGTTCCATTTCTGAGATATGGTCAGTCCCTAGAACAAATCTGAGTGCAAACCCCAGCTCTTCCTGTTCTGGTTGGCCCAGAACTCGCTCTTCTCCCATCTGCTCTGCAGTGAGAGCGCTGAGGCTGGAAAACAGATGTGACTCTAGTTGGGGAGATTCAGGGAAAGAAAAGGCAGGCGATGGGGGTAGGGGAAAATACAAAAAAATCAGATGCAAAGCAGACCCAAGGCAGGACATATAATAAAGAGCCTAGAGCAACCGTCATGTTTTCCATGAAGCTCAGACAGATGGAGAAACTGAACTCAGGCCAATCATTTGGCAGGGAGAGCAATGACCTCAGTGTGCTGGCCTAGCTAGAAACTGGTGTAGGAACGTCTCCCCAGGCGGTAGGAGGGGGTGCTCTCCTGGGGTCCTGGGAGGGAGTCTGAAGTTAGGGCAGTGAAAATGGAACAAAATGTTCAGAGCAAGGCAGAGGGAGAAGGCGGGTAGGGAGCAAAGGAAAGAAGAAGAAGCAAGGCAAGAACTGGTGTAAGAGCAGTAACCACCATCTATTTTTATCGGGCTTAATCGACATGCAACAATGCAGTTTGTTTCAAAGTAGTTTGGTTAATTTTTTTTCTTCATGACAGCTATGGTGGCTCCCTTTTTTTTCTAGGTCAGCTCCGCATTTGTTTTAGAGCCCAGGTTTCGATCGTCAGATTTACTTTTCCCAAGGTGATTTGGTCAGCCTCTGCTCTATCCCACTATCAGTTCATCATTGAATTACATGAAGTGAGAAGCAGCACGACTGGTCAAGAACGAGCAACTGTCATTCACAGATGCGAGAACGTCATTTTCAGAGGTTTTCGCTGACACTGGGGGAAGAGCTCCCTGGGCGTCAGAACTCCCATCCGACAGAGGCTGGATCTCCTGTGGGTAGAGAACACATTCTCTACCCATCAGAAAAGTCCTCCATGGAAATAGCTGGCAGGTGCAACAGTGATTTAATGAAGGCAATCTAATGTTTGAATTACCTAGGAAAATTTTAGTTTTCAAAAAAAGTCTCCAAGCAATGGAAGATGGGCAAAGGGCAAAGAAAGAGAAGGGAGAAACAGAAATGAGGCAGCACATTGAAGTTATCCATCTGTTTATTGGCCTGTAAAGAATACACCCATTAGCTGAAGGCCTCTGGGCAAATGTACAGAAACATTATTACTACAGTTCAATCCAACTAAATTAAATCCAGGGCCTAAACACACACACACACACACAAAATTTCCATAAAAGGAAGGAAAGGAAGGGAGGAGGAGGGTTATATGGGGTGGGGGAAGGGGAAAGAAAGAGCAGTAGAGGAATGAAGCAATAAAGTAGTGACAGCCAAAGCTAAAAGATAGACTCAGCGCAGGACTTAGGAGCCAGCCAACACATGTCCTCAGAAAACTTGGGCTAGGGAGAACGTCCCCCTTCGTAGTACCCCATACCTGCTATATAACACACTGTTCTTCACGCCTCTGTGCGTTGCGCTTTCTGTTTCTTTCTTTCTGAGATATCATTTTCCCAACTCCAGTAAGTAAATGCTTATATGTACATCAAAAGCCAGCTTAGATGCTGCCTCTTCCCAGAAACCTTTCCTGGTTCCCTCCTGCTTCTGAAGAATTAAATCATTCTCCCTCTCCTGAGCTACCCTCTATGTTTTTATAATTATGTCATCAACTTTATTATATTTTTTCTTTTACATATACATATTCTAGATTAAACTGAGGGTTCCTGATTGAAGAGGTTACCGGTAAGTCTTACTCATCTCTAGCTGACATAATGATTAGCACATTACTCAAAATTTGGTCCTTTGAATTGAGTTGAGATGAAGACTTGAAATAGTAACTTTCTATTTTGATGTAGAGGATAAAGTTCTAGAGGAGGTAGTTTGAGAGCACAGCAAGTGGAACCAACTAGCCAATGTACTGAAGTGGTAGGAGGGTAACAGAGGCGAAGGAAACAGGCAGAGGAAGTGGGCAATGGTTATTTCAGAAATGAAGGAATCTTAGCAGGAAGGCTGTAATTAAAATCAGTGCATGTAAAACGTAAGTGACTTATATCTACAATAATTCATGCTTTTGTCTCATCATTCTGCTTTGTGTAAACTTTCTGATGGCGCTGCTGGTTTTGCCTTGTTACAGACACACTCTCTTGACCATGTAAATGTAAAATGCTTGGTCCAAGTTCAGGATTCTGTTAAGGTTCGTTTCTGAAATAGAGCCCGCACCAAAAATTATGAATAACTGATAAAACTGGCTACACACAAACAAAATAGGATAAATCTAGAAATTCATTAACAGGCGGGAAATCTCCATCTTCCCAATCTACCGATAAACAAGCAATCAAACAAAAACAGAGAAAGCCTGGAATTTGCATATAAAGAAAAAACCCAGGAAAGTTTATACTTACATAATTATTAACAAATGTATGTAATTATTAACATAATAATAGCTAATATAATTACTCAGGTTAGTACATTTATATGATTAACATTTATATTTTTATAGATTATACTTGATAGATTATATCATCTATAAAAATCCTCTCCCCTTGAATGTCGGATGAATTTAGGGACTACTAGCAAATAGAATGCAGCAGAGACAATGGGGTGTATCTCCCCAGATTAGATAACAAAGAGACTCTGGCTTCTAGCTCCGGACTTCTCTCCTGATCTCTTGCTTGCTTGTTTGTTCTGAAGACAGCCAGCTGCCATGATGTGAGCTACTCTATAGAAAAACCCATGAGGCAAGAACTGATGCCTCTAGCCAACAGCCAGCAACCTAAGGCCTTCAAAATCCATGTGAATGAACTTGGAAGTGGGTCCTTGATCAGACTTCAGTCCCAGCCTACACCTTGACTGTATAGCCTTGTGAGGTATCCTAAGCCAGAGATATGCAGTTAAGCTGTGCTTGGATTTCTAATCAACAGAAATTTTGGAAAAATAAATGTTTGTTGTCTTAAGGTACTAGAAAGATAATATGTCCTATAACTACAATACTGTATATAATTATTGTATCTTATATAAATATAATGACATTTATACATTTTAATAATATAAAACTAATAATAACTAAATGTATGGAACACAATATGCTAAGCACTGTGCTAAAATAAAAAAGCAAGTATGATTATGCTTCTGTTGAAATTAGTACACTCATAGGAAAGCATAAAGAAAAAGAGAGAGATGAAAGAAAAAAGAGATGGGCCGGCCGAGTGGCGCGATGGTTAAGAACTGGCTTGGGACGCCAGAGGGCCCCGGTTCGGATCCCACATATGAGGGCCAGTGACACTGCGCTCCACAGCTAAGATGCTGAACAACAGCTCAACCTGGAGCTGGGCTGCCGTGAGTCGCCGGCGACGGCGTAGGCTGCAGCCCCTGTGGCAGTGGGTTGCCATGGGCTACCGTATGTAGCCAGCAGCCAACGTGAGCAGCCAGCAGCCAGCGTGAGCGGCCAGCAGCTGCAGTGAGCGGCCGTCCAGAAGCCGGCGACTGATCTGCCTTGCCCGGGAAGAGCACAATGATGGTGCCAACTTGGGCCAGTGAAGCGACGTCCTCCACAACTAGACTGAAGAACAAAACAACAGCAACTTGTCTGTTCCCCTTCCCCCAATTCCCCAGCACTGTTCCCATCCCCCCAATTCCCCAATAAAAATCTTAAAAAAAAAAAAAAAGAAAAAAGAGATAAGGGGGGAAGAGACAGAGAGAAGGAAGAGACATGGACA